ATTGAATTTTCGATAGTTGCTAAATCACCAGTGATCACTTTTATTCATATGATCAGTTTTTCATGCATTACTTCATCAATAACTTGGAATCGTCGTTCTTTTTTTTTTGAATAATACCAAGGAAACCTCTTCTTTTGAATGGAACATCATTAAAATCGCGAACTTCTATTAGAAGGTTTCTCAAGTTTCAAGGACTGATTTCTGTTATGATGCGTTTTAGACAAAACACTTCGGCAAACGACTATAGATTCGCTGATCCTGTTGTAAAATCTAGTTGAATTTGAGGTGGATGCGTCAGAACAAGCGTGTGCTGAACTTACCCTGGAAGCCAAGCGTTCGTCGAGCGGATAAATCTAATGCAATTGACGTGATGGTATCAGGTGTACTAGGATCTGAGATATCACAAGAGCATTGGAGCAATTATTTCACCGAAAGTGTCAATCCTATTTCAACGGTAAAACATCAGTCAACATTTTTGTAGCTGCATCTCGATTTGTTCTTCAGATAACTCAAAAGCATTCGTCTGACAACTGAAAAGTATTTCTCATCAACTGTTCGTTTTCTGCTGTCAACTTTGAAGATAGCTGAACGAGTATATTATGAATATAAACAAAATGATCATTGCCCAGAACCGAACCTAGGGAATTCGTTTCATTCAACTTTTCAAATACTCCAACATTGTTCACAAATCTGTTGTTGTGATAGTTTATTCCTATGAGAGTTTTCTTCGTTTCACTATATCGATGCAGTTGATTGTTGACGATTAGATTAATATTTTATAATACGGCAAATTCATTCATCTATTATTGTGGGAAATTAGTGATACTGTGTATACACAATCCAGAAATATAGTTTTTGTTTTTTGTTTTGAGGAAGAACGTAAAGAATGGCTGAGTAAATTGAACAACGTGGTTGTAAGCTCAGATGCATTCTTTCCTTTCCGTGACAGTATCGACTGCGCTAAACAGGTATCATTTTACTCATCTGATTGATTTCATTCCTCATACACGACTGTCAGAATGAAGTTTCAGACATACGCTGAATTTTGTTTCAAAAATTGAAAGAGTTTTTGCGATAAATTTTCAAAATCACTTCAATATCATGAAGTAATTCAGGATCACGTAACTTATCGTGAATCCAGAGAAGTCCAATAGATCAAGAAATTATTTAAAATCAACAAAATATGTAATTGAACTAATTATGCTTTAGCTATCAGGCGAAATTCGGTTACTCAATGGCGTGTCATCGGACGATTACGTTTTGAGATTTTCAAAATGTTTTGTTTCAGTTCGGTGTGAAATACGTGGCAAGTCCGGGTGGTTCAGCCAGAGACGAGGATATCGTCGAGGCGTGCGATGAGTATGGAATGACTCTTATCCATACGGGCCTTCGACTTTTCCATCATTGATACGGAAAGAACAACTATGCAATTGTAGTAGTGATCGAATGCAAATGTTGATTGGTTGATTGATGTTTTTGAACAAAATCTTTCATTTTTTAGTGTTCATAATATAGACAGCAGCTCAATATTTGTTCTGTTTTCGTGTTGTTTCATTCGATTTGTTTTGGTTTATTCCGATATCGGTCGAGTTGAGTTTAGTTGATAAATGTTCTTCGAAGATGCGTTTTCGCACACGACTCCAGCACTTAATCCAGCTGTTGTCGATAGAAAGACCAATTCGTAGGATTGTTGGGGCTAACATGCATACGTAAAACAAAGATTCGCAAATTTTCGAATGGTACCGATATGCGTACCTGACGAGACTCGTAAACAAACATCAATGCAGGCTAACAGATCGGATATAAAGGTGCCTATCGATGTTGGTATAGTTGATCAATTAGTTTGGTACAATAGACGAACGTGTATAAATTTTTNAGTGCCCATAATCACAGACGATCGAATTTCTTCAATAAGAACAAGAGCTATGTTCTGATTACTATCAGAGTTTAATCACCTCACTAGTCACTTCACTTTACATCCTGTTAATTCCGGTTGTACGAAGATTTACAGTGGGGACCGATTAGGCTTTGTAATCATCAGTACGGACATTGTTGAAAATATCATCAAGATGCCTGATGTCCACTTACTAAATGGTTGTTTGCCAAGAATTCGTCAGTTCTTCGTGATCAAACAAACATCTACAAACATTTCATAATTTGTCTTGTAACAGTCATAAAGCAAAATCAATCAACACTGATTTGCCAGTCTCTGCAGTTCTTCCTTGATAACTCAAAGTTCCTCTAGCAGGCAAACTCATCTCCTATCAGAGCCTCTGCTCTAAGAGCTTTGCAGCTGAAATGAATGGACTTGACGTGTGCAAATTGTGAACCATCAAACTGCTCAAATCGTCAATCACAATGAATGATCTATGAGGAAAGCATCAAAAGCGAAATGGATAAACAAAATTTGTTTGTTTTTATGAGTTTGTAACGTTGAAAGTTGACCGATTGACGTTGTTGTTTTTGTGGTGCTGTAATGAATTACAGCGCAGATGTCATATCACGCTTACAACCAACTAAAACACCTGCATGCCTCCTGGTCGATGTTTGCATACTTATCTTACAACAAACTTGCATACTACTTCTATCTATTTTTATCTGCTAGATATCTCGCTCAATTCATATCTCACCTTATTCATCTCATCTTCATTGCTATACTTCCCCCCTCACTCCAGTAAACAGTTGATAAGGAAAACTGCTGTAGGCATGAACGTGCCTCTAAGTTCTTCCATGAGACTTCTTATAAACATTATCGAAGAAGTTCTTATGCCATGCAGTAATCTTACCTGATCT